CAGCAGCAGCTCCCTGGGAGCACGGAGCTGGCACCGGAGGAGGAGCGAAGCCTGCGGGACCAGGCAGCTGCCTGTGGGCTGGTGGTACCGAGCTCCAAGCCCTGCTCTGCTGCCCTGGGGCTGGGGGAGCAGGGCTGGCTCTGCCCAGCCGCGGTGGCGGGGACACTGCCCCAGCGCTATACTGAGGGACCTGGTTTGTATTAAATGTTTGCAGCAAAACAAACCTGGCTGTGGCTGCCGTCTGTCTCTCCCTGCTGATGCCAGGTGCCAAGTTTGGGGCTCACTGGCATGACGAAGCCTGGCTGGGCAGGAGACAAGAGCTGTGCTGACAGCAAGGGCTTTTGCTGGGCAGGGAGGGCAGGCACAGCCCCCTCCCGCTCCAGCTCAAGAAGCCCTCCTCTCCCCGCCCTGGAGCCCAGTATGCGGGAGGCCCCTTTCAGCCCAGATGTTGGCCTCAAGTAATCAGAGCTGTTGTTGCTCAGGGCAGGACAACCTTAAAGCGTTTCCAGACTTGCTGGCACCTCAGCAGAGGCCCCTTTAACTCCTTCCTCCCCTCCAGCCCCGGCGCTGGAGCTGCAAAGCTCAAGCAAGGCTGGGATGCACAGCTCTCCCCCTCCAAGAGGGGGAAAGCTGGATGAGGCTCTAATGGAGCAAGGGCTGAGTAAGGATTTGTCCCGCCAGATAACTCTGCACAAGGGACAGCCAGGACAAGGGGAGCGTAGGGAAAAGGGGCATTACACAACAGGGCTCAGAACCACCCTAGGGCCACATCCAGCAGCTGGGAAACCTTTGTCCCTACTAAAAGCCAGGTCAGATGTGGGACACAGGAGAAAATTCATGTACAGTCCTGAAGCAAGTATTTTGGCTCACTTTCCCCCAGTGCACGGGTGTTCACTAGCAGGCAAGGAAATTAGCACATCCAAGGCAGAGGCAAAACTGAAGGAGTTTAATGTGCTTAAAGCCAGGGAACAGCTAATCCCCTCCCAGGACCACAGGAGAACTGGCACAGGAAGGCACAGGGCTGGGAGCAAGGATTTACTGCAAATCCATCGAGCTGGGGTGGTACTGGATGGATGGAGAATCCTTAATGCGGTGCCTCGCTGAAGGTGAGAGGCGTGATGGGGCCCTCGCTGGAGTGCGGGGCTTTAGCAGAGTGCCAAAAACAGAGGCAAAGGCAGGGAGGTAAGTGGATAAAGGGCAGCGTTTGTCACCGTAGGCAGACTGTACCAGGGCAGACAATAAATAAGTTTTTTGCCTTCAATAAAAAGTTTGGGTTTTTTGAGACAGAGTGAGGCAGTGGATCTCTGACACCTGCATGCATGGAAATTTGACTGCATGTGGATGTGGCTGGTGCAAGGGCAGACATGCAGCGAGTTCCCCCAAGCGACACCCATGCTGGTGGGGAGGAGGCTGTCAGCCCACCAGGGTGGCAGGGGGCCTGCTGCCGTCACCCTGAGCCCTGCCTAGGCAGCCTGCGCAGGTCTCGGCCTGACGGGAGCAGGCTCGGCAGGGCTGGCAGCTCTCTTGGCTCATCCTGAGCCCTTGGGGGCGGAGGTGGTGCTGTGGAATGGGGTGCTTTTGCAGCTCCCTCCAGGGCCAGCAGTCTGCCTGTCCAACCCAGCCCTCATGTGCCAGGGCCCTTGGGACAGCCTGGTGCTGCTCCGTTTGCCCAGCGGTGGGCAGGAGCCCAGCTTGGGCTGTTGCAATCCCACTGCTAAAACAGGGGTCCTCACAAGGGGCTCCTGCAGCGTGAGCCGCCTATGCAGGGCAGGCAGATTCAAAGCTTCCCCAGGCTCTGAGATGGGCCACAAGACCTTCCAGGGAGTTGCAGACAGCAACTGATGGAGGGGAGCCTGGTGAGAGGGGGTGGAGGCGAGACAGTGCTGGTGGAGAAACACCCAAAGCTGGACCCAAGATGCTGCAGGCAGCAAGGGCTCCCTCAACAGCCTCAGCCCAAGGCTCCCTGCACAGGCATGCAACCTGGTGCCAGGACCACCTGCTGTCCCTGAAGCCTTCATGCTGCCCTACAGCTGGTCCCTGGGCTGCAAGAGAAGCAGCAGTATGCGAGGCTGATGCTCACCAGCTTTAATATCTGTCTGGAGTAGGAGTCAGGCACTTGTAGGGCTCCTGGCCTGCACCTACCCCTCTCGTGGTGCTGGGAACCTCCCAGGAGGTGAAGCTTCAGTACAGGCTCTTGCTGTGGGGCACAGCAGGGCGCGGGTGGCTGGTGCTGGCCCCCCCAACCCAGCGAGCCGCTGACTCACAGGATAATCTGGTTTTTGTAGCTGCGGCTCAGCTCCTTGTGAGGAAGGACGATGGAATTGAGAATAACGACCTCAGCAGGGATGGTGACACTGCAGCCTGCGGGGAGAGTGCGAGGGGCTTAGCAGGAGGGGAGAGACTCTGCCCCACTGCGTGGGGCCGGGACAGCTGGGTGTGGGTGGGACATACCCAGGATTGTGATGGACGGTGTGAGGCGCCCGTCCCGGAAAAGGGTCTCGCTGTCAATCTTGGCATAGGGGTCATTGGGGTTGGGGTCACTAGGTGTTCCTTCAACCCGGGCCCAGCGCCCGATGGTGCTGTCCCAGCCCACAATGGTATTGAGGACACAGGTGTGGTCCTGGGGCAAAAGAGAGGGGGATGAAGCGTACTGCTGTCTCCCTGCAAAGGGTGGGGGTGGACACCCACACCCTCAGTCAAACCCTACTTACGTGGAGCGAGGCACCGTGCAGGACAATGGACTCTCGCACGCGCACACCAGCTCCCACCGTCACCCCCTCCCCAATGGAGACATTAGGGCCCAGCTGTGAGGACAGAGGGAGGCGGTCAGGTCAAGGACTACGGCACCTCCAGCACCCCTGAGCATCGCCCTGCCGCAGGGCCCCCCAGGCCCGCACTCACCACTGCAGTGCTGTCAATGGAGGCCGTCGGGTGGATGTAAACACTCCCTGCAAGACAAGGCAGCTGCGTCAGGGGAGGCAGCGTGCAGGAGCGCCCGCCTCTCCGATCAGGGGAAGTCCTGCCCGTGGGTCCCACTGCCTCCCCAGGCAATGGGGGGTGTCGGAGTAGTACCTCGGATGATAGGGCCTCCAGGTTTGTTCTGGGCCAGCCTCTCTGGGTGGCTTTTGCTGTACTGGTTTAAGTAAAGGCGGCTGGCATAGATAGCAGAGCTGGGGGAGGAAAAGCAAAAGATTTTTATAAGCCTCTCCATCACTACCAGGGCAGAGAAGGGTCTGAATCTGGTACCCCCTACCCAGCCCCAGCGCGCAGCTTGAGCACCCTCCTCTCCCATCCCTGGTTCACAGCACTTGATGCTCCCCCTGCACCAGGTCCAGCCCCAGCCCTTACCCAGCTGACTTGATCTGGCTCCAGAAGCCATCAGTTTTGTAGACATAGAGTTTGCCGCTCCCAGCCAGCGCTGTGAAAACGTCCTGCTCTAGCCGGATCACTTCTGCACGCTGCCAGCCATTGGAGCTTTCCTCTCTGCAAGCGAGAGGCCCGTTAAGACACCCACCCCAGTCACGGCCTCTGCCAGGGACCTCAGCAGGTACCCTCCCCAAATCCGGGGGCTCTGGTGATCCTAAGCTCCTGCCTAGCCATGCACTTCTCCCCAAAGGTGGGGACAGTCCCTGATGCCAGACTAGGCCTGCCTAGCCCCACTGAGCCCCAGAGCAGCAGAGGGACAGGGCTCTGCCAGCTGAAATAAGCTCTGGACCAGAAGATGATGTTGCAAGAGCCCCACCCAGTCCAGGTGGGTGTATGAGTGACAGATCCTGCCCCTGCTCCAGAGCCCTGCACAGCTGGGTTTTTGCTTGGGTGCTGGCAGAGATGTCGGGTGATGGGCTGGCTGGTGCAAAGAGCTGGAGTGGGGAGCAGAGCATTCCCAGGTGAACAGCTTGCTCAGCCCCTTGTCCAGAGCTGAATGAGGATGGAGTAGGAGGAAAGGAAGGGAGAGGGGGAGTCTCAAGCTGGCCAGGAGGGGAGCAGAGGAAAGAGCAGCCTTGCAGAGCAGCTTGCAGCAG